ATCAGTAACTTTGAATGAATGATTGTTAAATTAGACATACCGAACACGGTTGCCATATCCCATCTTTTCACTATAGAAATAGTCACAACTAACAACTCAGAAAAAGTTATTACATGTGTAAATGAGAAAGGTATTCGTGAAGAAAGATTATGAAAGTATTTGCCGTGAATAGTATTGTAATGCCTACATCAATTTTTGCTGATGCTGGACCAGAATATTTGTACATTCATATTTCGTTTGTTATACGCCACCATGAGCCACCTAGGTGCTGCCACCTAGTATCATTTGTTGTGAATTCATTCTGTATATTTTTTTCTGTGGATAAGTAGAATATATTAATAGAGAGACGTAACAAGTAACAAGTCGTGCAATATAATGACTAATATTCCGGAGAGGTGCATTACGTCATGGTAAAGGTTCCTTTTTCCTCTCATGCAGACTTACGACTTTGTAGGTACGTGTGGCAGATACCCAACGTAAAAACAACAACTGACGGAGCTAATGCCGCGCAGAGAGTTGAAGTAAAACCATCAGGCACCTGTGCAACGTCTTTGACTTGGAAGATTCGCCGCAAGTTATTTCCCACTATGAAAAGCAGAAATTAATTCTGTTTGGTCGATCCGACCAACCGATAGACCGGTTTCGGGGTGATATTCTCATCATCAGTACCGGGCGGTATGGTTTCTTCAGAACGGTGTGAACCGTCTGAGTATCATGACCAAACAAATATAATTCTAGCTCGTCATAGAATCTCTCTGCAGTTGATTCAGTGGGATGTCGACTGCGCCACCTGCAGGCAGAGCCAGGAAACAACTCCACAAGCATACTCCGGTGTGGGGTGGGAGTCGGAATAATGATTAATATTCCGGAGAGGTGCATTATGACATGCTAAAGGTATGCCTGATGGTTTTACTTCAACTCTCTGCGCGGCATTAGCTGGGTTAGTTGTTGTTTTACCGTTGGGTATCTGCCACACGTATCTACAAAGTCGTAGGTCTCCATGAGAGGAATGGGGCAACCTTTAGCATATTTATATATTCAATTTCATGGTGGAAAAGTTCAACTGGTGCTGTTAGTATTGCTTGCTGATCCCTGGTACAGTTGGCACGAGTTCCATACATTTGACGTAGTTATTGTACAGCTCTCAACACATGGGCTGGAAAGTACCGGGCCTTAGAAAACAAATGTTTTTTTTGTTCAGAATTAGCTTCATTAATAAACGTAATCTCAATTTATTTATCTTTTGTATCAAAATAGGCCTCAGTTTCAGCAAAACTTCTTACCGGTAATCATGTTTTTGACGTCTGCAAACAGGTAGTAGTTGCTGGGAGCCAAAACTGACCAATTCGAGCAATTCGAAGTTCAATACATGTAGTTTTGATTGACTTGTGAGACAGTGCGTTGTCTCGATGATACAATTTTTTTTTTGTCATATGCGTAATCGACCGCAAATGCCAATTCGGCCTTCAAACGCTCCAAAAACGCTATTTAATATTTACTGTTGATGGTATATCCCTTGGCTGGGATATACCATCAACCAATGGCTGGGAAGCCATAAACTTCCCAGCCATTGTTGTGCTTCCGAGCGGTTTGGTCGAGTTTCACCAGTTGGTCTCCACTCAGGTGGAAATCGTTTTGATTCCGGAGTGGAATCATGGATCCAAGTTTCATCCATTGTCACATATCAACGCAAAAATTCCGGTTTGTTATGTTTAAACATGGCCTAACCTGCTCAGAATCATCAAGATGTTCTTGTTTTTGGTCAACATTGAGCTCGCGCGGCCCCTATTTTGAAAAGACCTTTCTCATAGTCAAATTCACATGCAATATGGAGTCAACCCGTTCTTTTGATATCTTTACAGTGTTCGCTAACTCACGCAACTTCACTTTTCGAACATTCGAAACGATATTGTGTTTTTTTTACGTTTTCTGGAGTTACTGCCTCATTTGGACGTCCACTGCGTTCTGAATCATCGGTATCTCTACGACCACGTTTGGAGTCAGGAAACCAACGTTTAATTTAATTCAAGCTGACTCTTTATAATACTTTTCAAGCCATTGCTTCGCTTGAACGGCATTTTTTCCCATCAAGGAGCAGTGTGAAAGTAAAACACGAAATTGTTTTTGTTCCATTGTTTCCAAAACAACAAAAGTAGTGTCACTCTCATCGCAGTAACTCACAAACTTATGAAATTTCAACAGCTTTCTTTTGAAGGTTAGTAAGTAAGTAATGTATTCATTTCATATCATTAATCATTCAGTTACATGATTTGATTTCCCTGCGATTTACAATTCAAATTATGATTACCGATTTGGTTTGGTTATTATTAAACCTTACTAAGTTTAAAACCGCAGTTGGAGAGTGATAGATAGAGAAAGGCAATGAGAAGAGAGGGAGAGCAGGTAATTCAGCTGAAACATTTTCAAAGATATCCTGCAATTGATCATGATGATTTCTGATGAAAACTTTCAATTTCTTTTTTAATTTACAGTAATTATTAATATTCTTTATATGGAGTGGCAGCTTATTGTATACTTTCGGGCCAAAATAAGTTACACATTTCTGGTTGTGACTTAATCTACAGCGTGGTACTTAGAGTAACTCTGTAGAATATCTCCTTCAAGGCAATTTTGATCAGTGTGTTTTGTATTACGTCAAGATTATGTAGTGATGTTTTAAATAAGCCACCCCATACTTAAGATACTTCTTAGTTGGTACAATTTGCGAATTAGTTTGCGGAATTTTTTTACTGTGTGATCTATGTGATCATTCCAGCGTCGAAATTGGTCGATCATGACGCCTAAATATCTGATAGTACTAACTGAAAAAGCAATGAATGCAGTGAAACTAGCGACATCTATGTGTTAGGCTCGAGATTTTTCAGCCCATGTATCATATCATTCCATAGTGGGGATTATTAGAACGATCGTCTCAAATAACAGGTATGTGGAAAAATACATTTTCAATGATCTATTTTAGAGAGATTTCGTTGTTATTTATTCATTTACTTTTTCCTTCTGAAATTTTACAAGGTGCGCCGCTGTCTCTTCTGAAACAATTCTTAAAAAAAATTTAAACAAAAGCAAATGCATTTTATTGTTAACTCACAAAATATTAGAGACGTGATAATACAGTTTTCGAATCTGAAATTCAATACATTTTCAATTAGTTCCAGCTAATCAAGATTTCTCAAATTATTAAAAATGAGGTTTTATGAATGTGCCGCTCATCTTCCATACTTCCACCTTGATATTACTTCTCTTGGAACTTGGAACTGACAAAGAAATAAAAATAATGCTCTGAGGTAGAACATTCTTCTTATTCAAAATGTCTGTAATAAAATCGGTGTTTAATTCTTTCTTTCACAAAAGTGACACATAACTCCGTTTTGTAGTCCTTAATTTTCTATATGAAAGGCCGTTTGGAATCAACATTAATTTCTTAATTCAGTAAATAGATTAGAGCGACAATTTTAATCATTTGAAATGTTATATTGTCTGTCTCACTTTCATTTTGGTTTCTTCAACATAAAAATCTTAGAGAAATTACTTTTGTTTTCATTTCAGGGTGAAGAGTTTTTGTTTGATGATATGGAAAAGCTAATATATAGGGTGTTTCTTATAAAGGTATAGAAAGAACTTTGAAATGGAATAAAACAGAGATACATTTTTAAATTGATATGAAATTTACTTTATTCGAAAGACAATCTTCTGGCGTTATAGTTTAAATATGACTTCTGGTATTTGACCGCAACGGCTGGCTCGGACGTAGTCTAATCTGCAGGTCCAATTTTTGATGACTTTTTCCAAATTTGTAGCCGTATATCAGCAATAACGCGGCGAATGTTGTTCACCAAGTGGTCAATCGTTTCGGGCTGGCGACTTCACATATCCCCAAAGAAAATAGTCTAGCGGCGTAACGTAAAACTATGTAGTTACCAATCGTTTCCTTCAATAAATCGATTGTGGCATGAGCTGTGTGACATGTTGCGCCATCTGGTTGCAACTACAGCTCCTGCACACTATTGAATGATTCGGGAACTCCTCGACGCTACACTCTACAGCAGCAATAACTTCTGTACTCACTGTTCGACGTCTCTGTGGATGCGTATTATCATTTACAGTGAACGTGGTACGAAAACTTTCTATAGTTAATCGAATTGATTGCTCTGATGGACGCTTATGTTGACCGTGAAATGGACGTAGTGAGCGATACGTATTTCAAACAGAACCATGGTTTTCAAAATAAATTTACATTATTTGGAAGCGTTGTTCAGACTTCAGTCTATTCACGTTGAAATGTCAGCCCAAACTAAACATGAATCAATTGACAGTTGACAAAATGGCCGATGCGGGGGCTACGGAGAGGATGTGCAGCTCGTAGATGGAGGCATCCCACACCATTTGGAAGCCGGAGAAACGTATACTTACCTCAGGGTGGAACAACGCCACTCACACGAGGTAACAGCACTGAAGAACTTTCTCCGCGGCAAGTATCAGCACAAACTTCGACAGATGAGTATTATAGAAATAAATTAATGGAAAACATGAAAAGTCCAGGCAACTTGTGGAAAATTATAAATGAAATGTTCAATGGGAATGGAAAAGTTGAAATAAAGTCTACGAAAAATGATGAAGGAGATATGATAGATGATGTAGGTATATAGTAGAAATATTCAACAAAACTTATATTGACACAGGAAAAAACTCACGAAAAAATCAAAAGAACAGCACAATTCAGTTTCACGGATCACGATTCAATTTTTCTCTATCCGGCTGCTCCAACAGAAGTCTGGAATATAATAAGAGGCCTCAAAAACAATAAAGCTCCAGGAATATCATTTGAAGGGTCTCAATATCGAATGACTTCTTCAGAGTGAATCATTTCAACTGAAATGCACTGTGTATGTGTATAGAACTTTTCCTCGCTGATTTTCAGACAAATTTCAAAAGTGAAAGATGTAAGTTCTTTAGAAGTCAAAGTTCTATTTTTGTTTCAGGCCAAGGTCGAGTCAATCAACTCGGTGGAGTATTCATCAATGGAAGGCCGCTTCCCAATCATACTCGACTGAAAATTGTTGAAATGGCAGCGGCTGGGATTCGACCTTGTATGATATCTAGAGAACTTCGTGTTTCTCACGGATGCGTTTCTAAAATTTTGAACCGTTATCAGGAAACTGGCAGCATCAGACCTGGTGTGATAGGTGGCTCTAAACCTAGAGTTGCAACTCAAGAAGTGGAAACTCGCATTGAACAATGGAAGAAGGAACAACCAGGGATCTTTTCCTGGGAGATAAGGGATCGATTGATCAAGGTGAGACCCTGTTATTTTAAAGTATTCATTTTATTGTAAAGTTTCGAGAGTAATGATAAATAACTCCTAATGATGATAGTATCTATCTCATATTTTCATGTAACCTTTTTTGGTCATTTGAAATAACCAGTTTCAAGTTGATCGGAGCACTGATTGGATGTTTGTGAAAATTTTCGTTTTCGCCTACCATATTTGGATATGAAATTGAAGTACGGATGGATAATGTTAATCTTTCGACAGTGGTGGCATTCGAAGAAAATAGAACAAATATCGCACACATGAAAAATAGTACAAGTCAGAATTTCAAAAAAATATAAAACATCATCGATCATTATCGCAAGCGACGAACCACGAAGTATTATAAGAGAGGTTGCAGATATAGTCTAGTGCAGTATAGTCTAGCCTTTCAGGTCAAATTTGTTTTTCCGCCTCCGAAAAATATCAACGAGATGTCATTCGATTCAGAATAGCATGTATATAATTTTTAAGAAAATCAATGTGACGCTGGCGAAAATTGCAATAGTTACCAACAAATAACTGAAAAAAATGTGTTTATTATTGAAAATGTCTCAGAAACTATTGACATTTTTGAAACTTGAAAGAAAGATTCAAAAAGAAGGAAAATTTTCCAAAAACTCCCGGAACTGTAGAACCAATACTTATAAATTTTTATTCTAATTTAATTGAAAAAAAATCCTTTTTTTAAAACGCATTTTTATATAGCTTCTGATCATTAAAAATGGATCGATAGTAATGTTTTAAAAAAATCCAATGGTTTATGAAACGATTAAATTTTCAATCTAGGTGAATTGAAGAATATGAAATACATTTTTGATAACTTCGAGACCAACTTCATCAGTACAAAGGGGTGAATTCAGACATGTTTGACAAATATTTTAGCATGCTGCTTTTAGTTGGAATGCTACTACTTCATGTTAATATGAATTTATAGATAAATTGTGTTTGATGATGATATAAACTGACTTTCCTTTTTTAGCTCCATTTTAATTAAATTGCATTTATTCTCGATTTCTATCAGTATCCAACATAACCTGAATCATCTTCAACAGCTGCACTATTGTAAGATTCGGTTTCTGTGAAAATTATACCAAGAAAGCTAAAAAATTGTTTTTTTTTTCAGGAGGGCATTTGTGATAAAAATTCAGCCCCTTCTGTCAGTTCAATCAGCAGACTGATTCGTGGAGGACGAAAAGACGACCCTGAACGCAAAAACCACTCCATCGATGGAATATTAGGTGAGCAACCATAATAATACTCTCAAAGATTTACAATTCATCATGAAGAACAACTTTCACGGTAGATTGAAACGTGTTTTCTGACACCGCGTTGGAATCTCGCATTAATTGGGTGTGCATTTGGAGGCAGTGAATTCGAAAACCTGTGAATGAACGGGGATTCATAGCCTCGCATTATTTCCGTTGCAAAACATACAGGCACAGGATCTCGGTGATCATAAAAAACCGTGACGAAACAGCGTTAGAATAAAAACCAATGCAACGCTTTATTGAATACTGACAAACTTTATCATGGTTAATTATGGACCTCACAAGATGAGGATGATGAAGATGCACAAAATATAATGACGGTTCATTTTATCATTACCAGTATTATACCTGCCGAATCACCAATTGGTGACTGATTTTACAGTTCATCCTTGATTTCAGTGGATTTATTTTAGAGGTGTTGCCAATCAAATATAATTAAATTTTGGACTAGGTACTCAAGTATGGCAATATATTTATTGTAAAACTTATCGAATAATTGTCCAGAGATAAAGACAAGTATGCTCTCATGAGTATGAGCATAAAGTATGAGTTTGTACTCCATTTCATATGAATAAAAATATTTCGATGTGATGAGTATCTGCTCACAGTACATAAGAGTAAATACCCGCTATTTAATTTCTATGAAATTGTCAGAGCCTGTTCAGGAGGTAGCAGGGATTTGGCATATTCCCGCATTGCCTTTTATTTGAGAAATTAATTAGCACGTTGTCTTGTTGTTACAATGAGTGAAAGCAGTGAAGACGAAAGTAATAAGGGATGAGAATCCCAAATGGGATTTGTCACAAATACCAGATGTCCGACTATCAAAATCAAAAGCACTTGATCAATCAATCAATCAATCAAAATATGCGTTATTATCAAAGAATAACATCCTGTTGACAAAGCCTGTATAAATAAAATGAATTAAATTGAATTATATGAATAACATTTAGATAATTATTTACTTAGTATACGTAGTCACTACTTTATAAAATTGAATTGTTAAAAAGCAATCAGTCACTCATTTAAAATTTAAAATATAACAAACA